GAAAAATTTGTGCCCTGAAAGCTCCCAAACGCAGACGCCAAGCAGCCTTCCTCAAGGGTAGCGGATTATCCTTCCTCTCTAGCGGCCGCCTTTCCATCACTTTTCGTTTGATGGTTTCTTCGTGGTTCTGGGCTTGTCTTTTGGCATGTCTTTTTTGGCTTGCTTTGAGATGCTGTCGCCCACGGGCTCACTATAGTCAGTTACAGGTTAAGAAGGTAGCGGCAAATGCCCCTCAAAGGGAATCAGATATCCCTCCGCCACCTCCGTATCCAATAGCGTCCCACCGTTTGCGTGACGTCACGGCCAACGCGCGAGGAGGGTCTTGCCTTTCTGTACATATTTGCTTTATCTTTCGACTTTGACTTAGCATTGTGGAAGCCACGAGAGGGAGATTAGAGTTCTCCCCCACCGACGAAAACAAATACGACTTTCGGGGATTAGCTTCCCCCCCGATGGATACAAAGGCTGCTTTCAGGGGCTCGGTTCCCTCTCCGATGAATACAAAGGTCGCTTTCTTAAAAAGTGGGATCGGAGACAAGTGGGAATCCATTGAAGCGGAACAAGGAGCGTTTCCAGTGAACTCTTCTTTCGACTGCGGAGAGATTTGAAACGGGCGCATCACACTTGTGGGAGGAGCTTCTCCTACCTTCTTGACTTGTAACCGACTATAAAGGTATATTATTGGCACGGTGTGCTCATTGCCAAGGGAAGTGCGGAGGGGACGTACCGGGAGAGGACGTTCCAGGGGGGGGGGGGGGGGGGGGAGATGCAGCTTGTACAACGAGGTGACCAATTGCTTTTCTTCTCAACTGAGAGAGGAAGCAGATGCTCTGGGTACAGTGTAGTCTGGGTCTGAGCTTCTCCTGAAGACGCTCCGGACCTCCCCACGACCTTGCCTTAAGCATAAGCCCGCTTTCGTCCTCGCCTCCATCCCTCACTGGGGATCAGCGCCGCAGCGCGGAATACAGAAAGAAGCCGACGAGCGCCAGAAGGGGAGATGTTTCCTCTAATGGGCTTCATACTGTCTACGGTACGACTTCTCGTGGCGGAAAGCTAATAAAAGAAAGATAAACGGTACGAGCACTCTAAAGGCTGGAGGCTGCTTACACGGGGTCCTCAAGCCGACGCCGTAGGCATTGATTTGTATACAATGCCGTTTCAACTTAGGGTGGCGGGACATATTTTAGGAAAGGCGCCCGCTACCCCTTGTCTCCCCTTGGCGCCGTCTTTTCCAGTTAAACACGGCTTCTGTGGATTGACGGCAGAGCTTTTGCGCGGCTTTGCAGGAGCGAATATGTGTGTGTCGAACAGACTTGGGGAAAACGAGCCCTTTCAAAGATGCGAGTATACATAAATTAAATAGACATTGCCTATGACCGTTTGAGTGAACACCGACTCCCAAACATCCATGCTGCAGTCGCGATCGGCCTTTAGCCCAGTTGAGATTCGCCGACCTTACAACCACTCTGCCCCATCATATCTCTGCACCTGTTCTCTCGACATTGACGAATGAGCTAACTACCCAGAATCAAGTAAGTGTTCCTTTGATACAGAAAATATCCAGACGAAGTGCAATTGAATATAATTTAAAAGGATCCATTGCTGGTTTAAGGTCTTGCCTAAGTTCAAAAGTTAAAGTTGCCGAACTGCAACATGCTTTCAAAAATATTCAACAATTATTCGCTTTCGTTCTCTCAGGTTGCATCCAGAACACGTGAAAACACGAGTTTGGGTTGGCAATGCCGCGTGTGCTGCGCTCTGGACATTCCAAATATACGGCGAACAACCGACGAACTTGCATGGCAGCGTTCTTTTCGCTCGCTGCGTCAACAGTGTTTTGACGACGCGAGCAGCGTCGAAGCCACCGGGCCATTTTTGTCGCTTGTTTGCAACGTACTCGCTCCGCTGATTTAAGCCACTCTTCCCGTTGCCGCAGCAGTTCAGCACTAGCTCCAACCAGAATGTCTGCCAAGGCAATGTCTTTAAGCTGCCCTAAACCGACTGCTCACGTAGTGTCGGTCTGAAACCCATGTTTCGGAAAGGATAGTGTCACCAAAATTTTCGAGATACTTACCTCTAGCGTGGTCACCCGAAAGGTTTTAATTCAGAGTTCATCCCCGAAAGGTAAACCGATACAAAAGCTCTCAAGATCTATATTATGTTATCCGAGCTTAGTAAAAAGGATAACTCCACAAAAAAATATAAACACTCCTCCCCCCCCCCCCCCCCCCCCCCCCGCCGTTTTACACCGAGGAATTGCCCCCCTTAAAATGGAGGTCTGGATCCGCCCCTGCCTTATGCTGAGACCACGAGCTCCGCCTTCAGCGCGAGCTCGCTGCCTTCCGCAGTGCTTTGGTTGCGCGTGCCTGCGCGTTCATTTTGTGTTATCGAGGGCAGAAAGCTCGCGTCGAGGGCGCAGCTTCTATACTCTGTTTCATACTTAGCGCGCAACGCTGTCGAAGCTACTGGCGTGAGCGCATATGGCTTCATCTATGGTTTTATTTGCACGAGAACGCGTGCAAATGATCAACGAGATCAAGCCCCATGCTCGCGCCAGTAGCTTTGACAGCGTTGCACACAAAGTATGAAACAGAGTATAGTCTAAGCTTAAGGGTGAACGGAGTATAGACCTTTCCAAAAACGAGCGTGTGGCCGGTGCCATTTGGAGTGTTCGTGCGCATGGCGCGTGCTTTGCTCGCTTTCGAAAGCGACTAACACGCTCGTGCTGGGCTGTGAAGTTCGCACCTGATCTGTGATTTTGTAAACACTGAAAAGGTGCTGTTGCTTCTGCTCGCCTGTCCGCTCGCGCTCGCTAACGACCTATCCGTCGTGTCGAATATTCGGGTTGGCAGTCGGGGCCAATTTGTGCCATGACGGAAATTGCGGACCTCTAACGATGTCCGGTACGCGTGCGTGGCAAGGAGGAACAGCACGAGCTGACAAAGGATGAAGAGCGGGCGCCGTAAAAACGCTTCCGGTGCCGAATGTGTCACGAGAAATACGACTGCTCTTTCCGCCCATCTGTTCAGGAAGAAGGCCTACTAGGGTTTTTAATACTGTTTGCTTTTTCCTGTAAAGGTCAAGTGACTCAAATACGAACTCCGGATAAGTGTTTTATGAACATTCCAGGCTTATTGAGGGCACTATTCTCTAGAAAGTATAAACAACCCGCAAAAAATAAAAACAAAGTATCGGAATCAACGAAACATTTTATTCAAATAAACAGTTCAGTAAAAGTTCAAAAATCATTTCATGGACTTTTTGCCCCCCAGTTGTTTTTCTTCGCGCTCATTTTTGTACTCGGTAAGAAAAATCTAATCTGGCCCTCTGGCAATAACAGTCCGTGGTTCTTGCAGCATCTTCACTTTCGTTGTACTATAATTAAAACGATTGTAACAGGCCCTAGGTTTACCTAGAAAGGGGTACGCAAACGGAATGACGTAACAGCGAGCTCCCTACCTCTCGCTTTGAAGTCGTCCAGCGAGAAGCGCAATGCATATCGCGCTCGTGACGTCAAGATTTCCTGCACGACCAAAGGTACCGTAGTTTCGAGCGTTGCCGCTTGGTGGCGCCGACGAGTGACAATCTCGCCTAGTAGCAATATCCGAGAACTGTACGCCCTATGGCTTGCCCGTAAAGTCATTCGCGTTCATGCCGGTATTTTATGTGACGAGCGTTCAGTTTACAGCGTTAGTTTCACATCGCAGTAGTAGTAGCTCGAGAGAATCAGCAAGTATAACTAACCGTCAGAACCTGGAATGGGGAAACCGGCAAGCTATGTATATAAAGTATTCGCTGGGTGCCATATTTGAGCGCGTTATTTAGAGCGCATCCTTGAAGTGTGTGAAGGGAGGTTATGGGGAGTAGTGTGATTTGGTTGACCTGGTAGAGGTCCCCACATCCTCAGATCAAGCTCCTATCTATCGCCTGCGAAAAACGGAGATCTTGATGATGTGGAATGCATGTTGCGGAAGCACTGTGGAAGCTGTAACATATACAACGTAGTAAACGCGTAAAGGTACGTTTATACTCCAACGTAACGTCGACGGGCGCGGCGTAGCGCAGCGCACACAGATACTAATTGGTCGCAGAAATCGAGTTCCTGGCCGAAGGCTAATGAAAGGCGCGCGTTTTGCACTGCGTTCACTCCGCTCAACGTCGGAGTATAAACAGCCCCTTAGCGTTCCCCCCAAGATAAGTAACTCTACGAGCGAGTCAAACTGCCGCGAACTGACGCTGCTTCTTAGAAACTCAAGATCTAGCGGCACTCCAACGGAGCTTCACAGACCGCCACTAGATGCAATTTTAAAATATGTTAGTTCGTTATAAAATTAGTGTTGTTGTTTTTTTTGTTTTTTTTTTTCTTTTTTGTTGGCAGCCCAGAAACACTAGTTTAGTGTTGCTGGGCTGCCGGCACAACACAAACTATATCTAAACAAAGAAATGAGTGCAAACATCTCGTTTCTGTACCCCTTTAAGCTAGAGCATCGAAGGATGCGGACACGAGAGCGCGGCTTCGAAACTTGTTTTCGTAGAAGGAGCGTTCGCGCTTGAAACGTACGAGCAAGGAGCGTGGGCTACAGCTCTGAAGGATCATGAAATGGCTTAATAAATTTCAAAATCGCAACAAGGTCACTTGAAAACCTAAAAAAAACAAAGCTACTTGTTTCTGACGTATCCCAAAGGCGCGCAAATACACAGGATTTATATGTTCTCTGTTACGCCATGTCATGACGCCACAATATCACGTGACGTCAGATGACGTAATAGTGTCACGTGGTATTCCAACGTCACGGAATGGTGTCACCTCATTCCACGGTGCCATGTGACGTCAGGTCACGTTACACCATGACTCCTCGTTTGAACAAGGCTGCATGTGAGCCTAAAAGCTAACATTGTAACTGCTATGCCTTTAAAAAAAAAACTGATGCGGCGACATGAAGTTTCTTTTCCGGTGAATCAGTGCTTATATCTTTTGTTTTCATTCATGTGCAAACTAGACAAGACCATCTACGCGTTCGGTGGAATCACGGACCAGGGAGGCGAGGGAACGGTCCACCAGGACATCCTGGTCTTGAGACTGGGCCAGGACGACAAGGCGGACAGGGCCCCGTCTGGCTGGCAGCATTGGGGCACCCTGCCGGGATCCCTGGTCGGCATGGAGGCCGTTCTCTTCAGCGCCGGAGACGTCAACACGGGCCGGAGATACAAGTGACTCCTGGAGCACGCGAACATAACCCCACCATGTTATGGGCGTCATTAAAAGGATATCGTAATGAATTGCCACGCTGTCCTCTATCCATATCAGAAACTTTAATGCCCTGTCCACTGGAGCAACAAATGAAAACAGCCGACACTGACAAGCCTAAGCACGTCTAGTATGCAAGCGCAGGTTTGCAACTACTCATGTTTTCTTCACGAACACCGAGAGACTGCAAGCCTGGCAAAGGTACACAGCGCGACACTGTTACTACAAACAAGCAATCACGGCGTTAGTTTACCCTTACAATATAAAGGGTGTCATTAAATTTAGTAATGTATAAAATGTTCATTTAGGGCATCAACCTCAGGGACAATATTTTATGCCTGTCACTGCCTTTTCGAAATGAGATCCGAAAAAGTGCCGATGACGTGTTCGCGTTAACAATGTCGTCCGGCGTACCTTCGCGTGCGCGATGCACAGGCTTGAGTCTTATCGGTGTCGGTTGTTTCTGTCTGTTGTTACAGTGTATCGCGATGCTCGCCTTCCACACGCGCCAGACAGCTCATGAGTCATGACAACAAGATAAAGCTATTCGCGACTCCAGCAAAACGGACGACACCTAGCGGGAAAAACACTGAACTGGCCGGAACAGGTCCTTACGCGATTTCTGCTCGACCCATGTGGCTTCCGTGATTACATGTTGACGGCGGTTGCCATGATGAATCCGTTGTCGCGGTGACTCAGCTGTTATTAGGGACTTTAAGCAAACCATTACTGGTGTTCCGCGTACCGCACTACTGGAGCCTTCGAAGCATGCTTTCAAGCGCGCGCCTAAGTGATAGCGTGACCGCGAAGAGCGCACTTAAAAGCAGGCTTTAAAAGCTTCAAGAGTGCGGTAGGTGGAACATGGTAACGGTTTGCTAAAAGACCGTATACCGTCGTATCAGTGTGCTGCCTAGGTCGCAGTGAACGCAACCACAACCGTGTGAACCAGACAATGTGTTTTTACCAACGTTCATCAGCAGCACCGTAGAAGGACAGTAGGTCCTTCCATCGCTTCACTGAAGAAGGTCCAACCTCTGGAAGCCCGCTTACGCCAATACATCGCCGCGAGTTTTAAACGTAGGGAACACAAAATCAAAGCAAACCACTTTGAGGCTAATGCTTGCTTGCTAAAGCCGAGCTTTGTGCGTTTAGCTCGCACATGGCACGTCACGACCTTTTTAGACCACCATATTTGCCCGATAATGGCGACCCCTATTCGCGTCTCCAGCTCGATGCTCGCCCTCCCGCGGCGGAAACGGGAAGCGCTCTAGTGAGGGTCCCCCGGTTCTCCTGCTAAGCGGGCACGGCGGAACTGCTCGCGATCATGGCTCGCGAAATGTCCTTTCCGAATGCAAACAACACTCTTCACTGTCCCAACGTAGTGCTGCGGTCGGTATGGGATTGTACCTAACTAGAGAGTTTTAGTATTGCGCATAGAATGAGCATAGAAGCAAACGCAAGCGATGTGTGTTTGCGTTAAGGCCCGTTCACACTCTTGCGACCGAGTACGACCGAGTACGACTGAGAGAAACGAGGATCTCTTAAAACTTCTTAAATGTTTTTAGAATGAGGGAACACACTGGTATTGTGGCGCCATCTATGCGGTGACCCTGGAACTGCATTTCACAAGAGCGAATGTTTTGCGGGATTTCCGAGGTCAAATGTGCGTAATAACCATAGAAAGGCTCGTTTATAACATTGACAAAAGTTTTTTGAGCCAAGAAAGAAAGAATAATGCGCGAGAAATAAAAAAAAAAATATGCCGGACCGCCGAGTTTACACTGCTTCCCAATAGATGGCGCCAGTGTGTTCTCTGGTTTAAAAGGTTTTAAGGAACCTAGGTTTAAGAGGACGCAAGAGTGTGAACGGGCCTTTAGAGTTGCGTGCCCCACGTTGTACGTGCGCCTCATCGCCATGCGCCATCCAAGACCGCGATTTTGGGCTCCGCGCAAGCGCAGTGTGGGACGCACAAAGCCAACGCAAACGCACAGCGCTTGCGTTTTCTCGTTATCGGAATAGTAAAACTCGCTCCTGTTTCACCGGTTTCCAACGCCAACGAAACATGCTGCAGTGAGCAGACGAGCAAGCAGGTAGGCTTTCCTTCGAACTGGAAAGGCTGAGATTGCCAAACAACGGAACGTAAAAATGAAAGTAAATAAATGTTATGAAAAAATTGGTAACTAAAAAAAAATTTGGGGGGGGGGGGGGGGGGGGGCATTTGGTTTGGAAGGATACTGACGGTGACTTTGGATGTTTTGCCGATTGTCAACAGTCGCGACTTTGATAGCAAAATAAAAATATACCTTACCCAGAATTAATGTAATTTCACATGGATTTCTCACATTGGCTGGAATGTTTTCATTGATTTAGCCTATTTTATTACTTGGTAATTCAAAATGCCACGACTTTTGATTGTCATATTTATTCGCGCGTTTGAAATTAGATCATGACTTATAAGCAACAAATTATATTAGATCTTAAAAAATAATGTATTAAAATATCTTAATTTTAATATTATTATTATTAATACAAAACGCGGCAATGTATGCCCCGAATTAACGCCAAGATCAGAAAAATATCCATTTAACCTTAATAGTATTTCAGAACGTATAATTTTGTTTTCTTTTTAGCATATGAAATGTTCTGACATCATTATCAAGATGGACCTGTGGTTCTCAACCATCGTTGTTTCGCGGACCCCTTGTGGATCCGCGGAAATAATGGAGAACCCCGTTTGTGGTGAGAGGAGAGAGAAGGTATAGCTCAAATATGATAATGATTTAATAAATGGATATAACTAAGGGCTATAAAAAAAAACTTTGTCTCATCCTGCGATGTACTAAAGGCCAAAGCCACAGGCCGTCAGGTCCAATCCCGTTCCACACTATACTATGACACGCTTAGCATTGATTAGGGGTGGACGAATAATGCTCGAATCCAAAAGCGCCACATCATTTCTATAGCTTCGACGGTGCAAAGAGCCTATATGTCGTGGCTTTCTTTGCGATGTAAAATTGTTGAGTCACTCAGTGCTCTTCGATCCGAACCACTGTCCACCCGTCCCCTCATCAGTGTTCCAAGACGCGGGCACCGATTCGTGCATCGAAGTGAAATACCGCACAATATCAAAGTGGGTCGTGATTGGATCTGGCAGTCCGTAGCTTTTGCCTTTTGTCCATTGTAGGGTGAGACGAAGCATAGTGTAAAGTAGACCTCTCTAATTTACATACACATGAGAAACCTCGCCCGAAAACTGAAACATTACTTATCGACCCGGAAAAAAATACAACTTTTATTGCCGGGCTTGACTGATGAGACAGGGCTTCGCGACCCCTAGAATGTCTTTGCGGACCCCAAAGGGTCCACGGACCCCCATTTGAGAACCACTGAGATAAACAAACAGTCAAACACTGGATGTAATAAAGTCCTATATGCGTCACGCGTTGCTATAAATGGAAACACACACACACTTCAACGGTCTGACACTAATTCCGTCTTTGGGTTGTTGCAGTGTGTGTGTGTGTAAAACTTTTATTGAGCCTGCAGCAGTAGCCCTAGACTACCGGACGCGGCCTCGCGTCGTCGCTAGCACCCTCCGAGGACTTTGCCTCTCTAGGAGTGCCGCGATCTGCTGGACGGCCTGTAGTTGTACCTCGCAGTTGTCGCTTTCGGTGGCGTCTTTGAGTTCCGGTGGAAGGTCCGCCTCTTGGCTTGCTTCCCGTCTTCTTTTGGTGCAGTCCCACGCGATACGCGCAAGCGTTGCCCTGTCGCTTTTACATAACTTACACACGTCGTCCTGGAATAGGTCTGGGAGAATATGCTTCCCTATTACTGGAGTTAACATGCATCTTGTTTGTAATTGTCGAAATACCACCGCCTCCTTCCTCGTGAGGTTGGGGTGGGGTGCTGGTAGTAGCTGCCTGTCTAGCCTGAATGTCCTAAGCATTTCTCCATACTCACGAGGTTCGTAATGTGATGACTGGCCGCCGGCTCGGTCTCCCAACGCGCGAGCCATGGCGTCCGCCACCGCATTTCCCTCCTCGTGAGCAGGGTACCATTTAAGTGTTAGTTTCCCGCAACTCTTATTGACCATGTGTCCTCGCTGCGGCCTGACTAATTCGTCCTGCCATGAAGTTTCTTCGCGCCCTCATAGAGTCACTGAGCACCACTTTTACTGTTGGCAGGGAGGCCGCCAGTGCGATGCAGGGGCGGCGCCAGAATTTTTTTTCTGGGGGGGCGCTGCATGAATATACTGAATTCGGGGGGTGGGGGGTCTTGTTTTCGTTGTTTATGTTTACCTTTAAAAATATTTCTGCTGACGAGCAGAAATCTCACCTAAAGTATACTTACGCAATTGCGGAGGGCTTAGCGCTGAATATAGGCATCATCCAATAGACATTTAGATAGAACGTTTTCATTGGATATCATTTAATCCATATACTCTCTCTTGTCTACTGAAAATGCCCCTCTTTTGTTTCTTCTGTAATTAATCCCATTGAGTATAATAGGAACCTCATTATTTTTATGGCGTTTTGTTTGTCACTGTGAATATCCAGATTATTTAAAAAAAACATTGCAAACTCTAAATGAATGTGTCCTTTAAAAAAAATGTTATCTCAGACGTGCGCAAGTTCGTCAGCGGAAAAACCACGAGGAGGATCGCACTGCGTTTTCAAAACTCAAACTTGTTCGATTCACTCGCCTGGTCCTCTCGACTTCATTTCTATGCAGGAAACCCACGAATCTTGACATGACTTATGCGTGACTGAGGTTTCGTGCTTTCTAAAGCCAAATTCTTTGTCCAGAGCTTTTTTCCAGTAACTGCAGCCACAGCTGCCAAACGTGGATTTCTCCTTCGCTTCGGTAGAGAACATTCTACAGGGATATCAAAAAACGGAATCAACTTGGGTGCTGTATTCTAGCCAAGGAAATAACCAGTCAGACTGAAAGCTTACAGTCTTTTTTCTTTACTTTTTCGGTGGGAAAGAGTTCACTATTGGCTGCAGCGGCGACTCTGTCTTATACCTGGAAATGTCCAACTGACCTGAAAGATCGTCGTTTCCCTCCGATGCGGTCTCGTCTCGTCTCATGAAGAAGAAAACTCGTCGCTTTCACTGTTCCTTGTTCCGATGAAGGATGATGGACTTCGCTAGAAGCGCTGGGAAGGCCACCAGGAAGACTGTACGGCTGGGGATGATCCTTCCGCTGCTGCTCGATCTCCAGGTTTTCTGAACCTAAAGAGGGCGGTTCGGAAGGGTCGCCGTCCTGCTTCTTGACACGCTTGTTGGAAGACGAAAAAAAAAAAAAAAATCTGCGGTTGATCTTCTTTGCGATTTTGTGTCTCCTTTGGAGTCTTGAAATCGGGCTCAGCTGCACATGTTCGGTTCAGCAGCAGAATTGTTGGGGCACTTTTTTTGTGTCCGTCATCCTGGTAACATTTGGCACCGAGGCTGAAAACGTAGCAGAGCAAGGATGGCCCTTGAAAATGGTTTGTTATGTTGAGACCGGCAGGGCCAGTTTGGTCCAGGTGATAGATTATGGCCCCGCCCCTGGGACTGTCTTTGTATCCTTCTGAATACTTTCCAAAGATTCTACTGGGGAATCCCAACAGACAAACAGACAAACCGGCGTTGTTTCCTACGGCCTCGCTTAGAGTCCCGCTCACCTCTTTCCCCCTTGCTTTTGGCCTTTCGTATTCACTGTTTTGAGCAGCAGTGCACTCGATGCCGCCGCAGGGCAAGCGGTGCGTTCCGCGAGCACTATGGCCGCCGTGTAGCCTCTCCGATAGGTCGCGCGGCAATGGCACACACCCAAAAGAGGAAGAACCTTCACGTTTCCTAGAACAGATTACATTCCCCAGGAAGTGAGCGGAACAATCGAGGGCCCACTTACACAAAGACAATCCAATTGAAGGAAGGAAATTACGCTGGACGGTGGTATGATACCTACAAGGTTGAACTCCTGGATCTCGCAGCCGCGCTATTGAGTGTGGAAGCCAAGGCATTAGTAAAATCCTTCCAGACGAACAGCCGAACCGGCATCGTCTACCAAGCGAGGTCCCTCTCGCCTCTTTCCATCTCGCTTTCGGCTTTTCCTGCACTTGGTGCCGCCGCGGGGCGGTGTAATCCGCGAGCAACGTCAGCGCCGTGCCGCTGCTGAAGGTCAGGCGGCTATGGCACGCACCCAAAAGAGGGAGACGCGTCCGGATTTCGGGAATTCTTCACAAAAAACCAGAAAGCTTATTCTCGACAAAGGGGTCCTGCAGGGCCCGCTTCCACCGAAAGAAGTCAATCAAAGTAAGAAAAGTACGCTAGATGGGAGTGGTATGTCTCTTCCAAAACCGTTTCTTCTAAAAATAGTGTCGTGCTTCTCTATTCTTATATTTTATTTGCCTGCTTTGGGGGGAGGGGGGGAGGGGCTTCCAAGGACGTATGGCTGGCTTGAAAGGACGAATGCTCCGCGTCCATTGCTAAAGTGCCCGTAATGTGCGGCGTTAACTTTCCTTTTGGGAAACCACGACCTTCGCTTTGCGGACTGAACTCCACCCCCCCCCCCCCCCCCCCGACAGCTTTTTTGGGGGGGCAGGCAGAAATTTAAGGGGGGCGGCTGCCCACCCTTGCCCCCCTGTAGAGCCGCCCCTGGTGCGATGGCCACCTCCTCCGCTACGCGCAACCAGACTCACTGCGTCGCGCGATGACAGTTGGTTGCACTATCTTTTCGCGCGGCGCGGTGCCGTCGGGGCGGAGTTGCGCTCCGATAACAAACCGAAACTTAACCCCCCGTCGAATTTGTGCGGTTTTTCAGAAAGCCGTAAAATGCTTCGCGTGCCTTCTATCATTCTGCAATTTGTTGATTTAGTGGTTTTCCATGATGCTGAGCAATTTTCTAATTTAAACCATGCCCTTAAACACAATATTAAAAAAGTTAACTACGCAAAAATAATTAACAAGTTAATTATCCCGGACATTAATAGTTTTCTTAAATGAACCCCTGGCCCAGGACCACAACGCCACAAGCCTTTTTTCGTTGCGATGAGTAGTTTTCGCAGGAACGATTTGGCTTGCGTTTTCTGAAACACCCTGTATAACCTTCTGAAGCACTCTCTCCTCAGTAGGCATGGTCGATTTGCTGTGTGCTTATAGGTTTTTCTGCAGCTAGCACCTTCTGCTTAGCAGGCGTGCTGCGCTGTGTGCTTATATTGCCACGCACGTAGTCGGGCGAGCGCGTGAGTGGCCGAGTGGTTACCGCGCTTGACTTTCCGCACGAAAGTCAAACGCGGTAACCACTCGGCTACGCACGCGCTCGCTCGCCTACGCGCTTGGCAATACGCCCTTCTGGAGCACCCTTTGCTTAGTGGTCATGGTTGCTGTGCTGTATGCTTATGAGTCCTACTGAAGCACCTTCTGTTTAGTAGTCATGGTTGTGCTATGTGCTTATAAGCCCTTCTGAAGCATCCCCTGTTTAGTAGATATGGTTGATGCATGCTTATTACTTCTTTATAATGCGAAATGTTTTAGTGGAACACTTCAATTTTAAAAGTTTTGTCCATCTGTCTATGAATTTTTGCACCAATTTTAGCATTGAAATTGATATCACGTGACCTAAAGAGCAATCCAGTTTACTTGCTAAATTTAGTGGGAAAATTCATGTCGTCACGTAAATACGAATTGTCTCCCTGCTAAATTTAGCGGGAAAATTCATGTCACGTGAACTACACATTAATGCAGGCTCATCGCTAAATTTATTAAAACAAAAATTTACGTTACCTAGGTACCAATGTATTGTAGAAAAACTTGTAGTTCGGCTAGTTGGTGAACGTTAGCAATCATGGTGTAATACGCAAATAACAACAGACATAAGAGAGAAAATAGACATACAGGGCGCCACTCACAACTATATTTGAAAAGAGCAGAAGGAAAAGTATACATATGTCGTCATCTTCATCACGTCCACGCATGCGCTTGGCCATATGATATACGCTAGAACTCTCATTCACAAAAACTTATCAAATAATGTAATCTCGGCTTTATAAAACGCAATAGATGCGTCCCTTACGCATAAGAAAAAGGGGTACACAATGCGTAAGTGACACATCTATTGTGCTCTATAATGCCGAGATTACATTATTTGATAAGTTTTTGCGAATAGGAGTTTAAGCAAAGCGCGTGCGTAGACGTGATGAAGATGACGACATATGTATTATTTTCCTTCTGCACTCTTCAAATATAGTTTCGAGTGGCGCCATGTATGTCTGCCGCAGACATACACAAGAGAGACAGTTTCTCTCTTGTGTCCGTTGTTATTTGCGCCTTACACCATGATTTCTAAGTACCAATATGCAGTTTCCATGCTGGAACAATTCACGGCGCGCACCCGATGACATCAAGTGCGCGTACAATTGTACTGGATTTATACAACCGCGTTCGCAACCGAAATTTGCCAACGCGGATCCGCTTCCAGTGTGAATGAGCGGTGAATCTAGAAAGGAAACCGACGGCACGCGACGTGTACTCCAGTTTGATGTCATTTTACCTACACAATTGTTTCCCCGCTAAATTTAGCGAGGAAATTAGTAGGTTCTTTGTCACTCCGCAAAAGAAGTGCTTGATATCTTCGATACCCTTCCCTTCCTCGTATTACAGCAGAGGTGTTACGCACGGGATCGTACCCTAAAGCTTATTAAAGATTGTTAATCAATCAATCAATGACCACAAAAGCGCAAGCTTCTTTCCTTTGGGTTTTATTTCCAGGCCGTTTTGATCATCACGCACCACGGGCACACTACAAACTACAATTCTTTTGTTTTGCGTTTGTACTAGTAAACTAGTCGAGGTAACAGAAACCAACATGGTGGACAGGGTAAGTGTCTCTCGCAGACCGGGCAATCCCTTGCGAAGCCACGTATGCACACAAAGTATCTATACCTCCGACATTGTCCGCAGCGGAACAAAGCGGCAAGCTCCAAAGCCATTCCTCTGCGGCGCACGCTGGAACTCCTATATAATTACAATTGTGACCATAGGATGGGCAAACACTCACAAGTGTTTCTCCAACGAAGCCTAAGACAAGTTTCTTTTCTTCTTTGTTGTTGACTTTGCCAAGACATGCTGTACATACATAGTGAAGGGCTCAAGTCACAGAAGCAGAGGCAATAAATAATGTTTTGCAGGGAGCGGAACACCGACTATAGAAAGACAGTAGTACATGAGTAAGAGGGAGGGTACACTGAGACTAATACATGGTACAGAGGTAAATCCCTGCAAACATGCATTTATGTATAGTATTTGGTTTCTATGCTGCCTTGGGTACATTTCAGTACACCGACGTCGTGTTCTTCCTTTTCGTGCGGACGTTACATAGAGGCTAAATACACGGCATTACGTAAAGACGAGAAAACTACAAGGTGCATGCAGTCATAAGTCAAAGCCATCAGACATCCTTCCAAGCACACTCAGAAACCAAACTCCATCTGTGCATGACTCGCATTACGACATTCTGGATGTGGCAGCTCAGCCACCATCATAACAAGGGTTGCTCTAATCGAAAGCACAAGCTATGAATACATTGGAGGCTTAGCATAACACAGGTGTTGTTCCTTATCTTTAATTTTCTCTTGATACTTATCAAGACTGGGACTGATTTTTTATTTGGGGTTACCAAACTAATCTTTTGGATTATAGTCCGCATCATGTTGTGTCCAAGTTGTGTACATGCGACAGAAAAATAAACATCCAGTGAGTCCGTCGCATTTGACTTTACAGCTGCAAGCACAATATCCAACTCACGCTTCAGTCATCATCCCGAGAGAAAGAAGACCGCATCGTAAACTAGAACGGTCAGTTATGTACACCTGGCCTGACAATTCGGTGTTTCACAAAGTCGAATTCGACTGCCTGCATCAACAACTTGGTGCTTCACAAAGTCAAATTCGACAGCCCGCGTCAACAACTTGGAGCACAATGAATACATGAGGGGTGCAGTTCAGGAAACGTGTAACATCAATATGTACACCATGCTACAAATATCCAGGGATCTTTGTGCCCCCTAAGCATGAAACAACCATCAGATAACTGTGCTTAGAAGAGCTTAAAAAGAGTCTAAAGAGCATCAAAGATAACAGTAAAATCACCAAATAATGAAGCCATTGATCATGAAAACAGAAAAATTTGGATCAATGAGGAAGCCCAGATGGCTTTCTCAACAAAGTTGAAAGGAGTTATCTAACATTAGGACAGGAGATCATGCCTCGAATGATCAAACCAATGCAAAGTGCAAGAAAGATATATATATATATATTCAGTTTAGTCCCAACTATGTGATCAAGTGATTGGAGCTTTAAAATTGCCGACAAAACTATTCTTTTTTTCTTTTTTTTAATAGTGCATTTAAGTAGAAAAGATTACACTTGGAGAAGCCAAAACAATGTACGACATCTCTAAAAATTGGGTTGTGAAGTAGCTTAGGTTGAAGTAGTTTTCAATCACAGATGCAGTAGAGAAGAGAGTTTAAAGAAAAGATACGAGCATTGCACAATCAAGACGGCCCTTTGCGAGTGCTCTCGGCACTTCGAAATCCTCCATACTCTCGAGAAAAGGAGTGAGCCAGACTTGGCCATACACTCCTTTGCAATGAGTCAGCATACTTCTCGGAGCTTTAGTCAGCTTCTGACAGAAGCCACATTGGTTCACAAGGCCAAAATGCTGTTTACTTTTACATCGCACAGACATGTAACAAGGAATGTCTGCTGGGCATATGGGCTGTGACATCTATTGCATCCCCCCTGGAGAAATCTTTGCGTGCTGAAAATCAACACCATGTCCAAACCGTGGAACACAAGAGCATTACCGCATAATCTCTCTGCCATATTATGTTGCGTGTCTCCTTTTCCTCACTTCTTTTTTTTGTCGCCGTGGGAGGGGTCTTAAAACGCCCGCACAGTCCCACGTCGCGTTACAGCTGATTGTAGATTGCTGAGCTGTGACATTAACTGACTCTTCATTTGTAAAATTTACTTGAGAGCTGAGGACTGTGATGAGAGAGACAAAGTACAAAAATTAGTTAATGAAGCAATGATACTTCCCAGCATGGTTGACAAGCCACTGTAGTGGATCATCATTGCGGAATTAGTCTAAACTTTTTTAAATGAAAATTCAGCAAACCTGCCTTTTTGTAGCAGTTCCAGAAGGTCTTAACGTCAGGAATTTAAAACTACTGCTAGCTAAATTACTCAAAACTGATCTGAATTCTACAAATGCCTTCATTAGTGCAAAAATTTCAGTTTAGCTGACACACCCCAGTAAAAGAGCAACTTTCACTCAAGCTAATGTTTTAGCTTCAGGGTCAGCAAAACTAAAAAAAGCGATATCAATGCAAATGACACCCAAAACGTCTAGTCAAATTGAAAGCCAAGTCCCAATGACAGCAAACCAATCAGAACGAACCAGTGTGTGATGTCGTACAACCTCCCTCTTTGCACACTAATGATGATGATTACGACACTTCGCTTTCTTCATTTGTCACCCACATACTATGATTAGACCCAAGGGGATGTCTGGAGTTAAGGCATTTCCCAAATCGGGAAGCGCAACTGAAACTCGTCTAAGGCGGACATGTATTTTCAGCCTTAAATGTCATTGCATTTGTGTTTGCCAAGAAACTGAACGCTGCCAACTTTAACAGTTGGCATTGGGGATCAATGCCAGTTTGTACACTAATCTGCAAGCTCACGCTCAACTTTGGACAAATGGTTTCAATGTTAGAAATAACCTTTACAGCAGGGACATTAAAATAAAAGAACTGATATAAAAACGCATAAAAATTATTAAAAAAAGATCATGCCATAGGTCTCTCAAACAGAAAAGCTGGAAAAGCAAACAAATAAGACAAAAACAAATGGTATATTTGTGATCATGGTTCACGCACAGAAGAGACGCATGTTTCTTCATAATTCTCAGTTGGCACACGAAGACTTTGGTCAACCTATAGGTCCTAAACTGGAGCATAAGTAGTGAGAGGTATATTTCATTTTCACTTCTCCTGGAGACAGTAAGCAAGCTTTACATTAATTAATAAAGGTTGGACTTGGGTTTGGGCTAGTTGGTTGTAGTACATAGCTGAGTGTGCTGCCCTGCAAAGTTCTACAGAACGAACGCGCGACCAGGAAATGAAAGAAAATGAAATTGCACTGAAGGAAAAGGAAATCGAATTGCTTAAACACACCACAGCATAAGAAGGAGGACACCAGCACCAGCTTCAAGGTCCCATCTTGCACCATAAAAACGGAATGAAAATCAGAACAGGAAACAACACCACAAACATCGAAAGTCCACGCACCCTTATGAAGACATTTTTCATTATTTCACAGATTTTCATTTTTTTTTCCAAACTCACGCATGGGAAAACTCATGCAAGGAAAAAGATAAAAAAGAAAAGAATACAGTTGTTAGTCAACACCCATTCATGTACATTGTGTTTCTCCTCATCTCAATGTAACTCATTGTTTTCCTTTCATTTCCTGGTCCCGCGTTCGTTCTGTAGAACTTTGCAGCACAGCACTATTCAGCTATTTACGTTAACTGCACAAAGAGTGCGGAAGAAAACAGAGTATTAAATGCCTCCACCAGCGGTTCAACTAGGGTGACCACCTGTCCCGCGACTCGCGGGACTGTCCCGCATTGACGGCTTGTGTCCCGCGTCCCGCAAGACATTCCAAAAATGTTCAAAATGTCCCACATTTCACGGTATCGTAAAATTCACAATTTATATCATGGCACTGCCTAATAAAGGGGCACGGGGAAGCGTGGAGGCTGCTGGCCATCGTGTGAATTGCAATGGTGCGCTATTTACTATCCTAGCATTGCAGGAAGCGACCACCGTTCTTGCAGGAGAGAGACGCGCATGTGCTGTTGTGCCTCTCCCCCTGGTGGAAAAGTAGTGCAAGAGAAAATTGCTAGCCAAAATATGAAATATAAATTATTGTAGTTACTTTCAAATAAACTGTATCAGTGCAAAAGGTTTGATGTGAACTAAGAGGTAGCACCTGTCCTGTTGTCTTTGTGTCTTTTTGTCCTCGTTTTGTTCGCGCTTTTAACCTTTTAATTCAGTTCGGGCACACTCACTCAAACCCAAGTTTTAATAAAAACATAGGGTTCTAAATTTAAGTAAGGGTATGTTGGTAAAAGTATATCACCAGGAAACAATTAGCGGAAACAAGGTTTACTGTTTCTTCTTTACTTTCGATGCATTGACCTCTGTTGCAGTCAATTTTGATGTTTTACACTTAGACACATTTAATAACTTACTTGTCATTAAAATTTAAAAAAAAAAAAATTATGTATACTTCATTGGAAGTGAAACTTATTTGAGCTTAATGGCCACAATACAGTGTGCAGGTGCATACATTTTCTCCAATGTATCCTTCTTAGATGCCGCAGTTGTGATGTCACTGCCCCCCCCCCCCCCCCCCCCCCTTGGCCCCCCCTTCCGGTCAGCGTGTCCCGCATTTGACTATCAGAAAGGTGGTCACCCTAGGTTCGACGCTCGCACGTGCATAGATTACCGCCGGTCCTCATTCCACTCAAAGTTACTGGCCTATAGGGAATTTCACTGGTCGGCTTGGGGGGATCCAAAAGTGCACCGTGCTCGCACCTTTAAAGCGGTGAATGCTAGCATGCGCCCGCCTGCAAAACAAGGTACCAACAAACAAGCGCTTCAAAACCACTCTAAATCCACCAACAAATTTCCCCAATGAACTTTGGTGCCAAACCAGCAGTTAAGACTAACCCAGAAATAAAGACAAACACCAAGTTCCCATTTGTGGCAAAAACGAAATCAAAAAGTGATAAATGGCTCACTGCAGGAGAATGAACAGATACCATTATGGATGTAAAAATAGGTGTCACTAAAACTTCGTACAAAGCAACAAACAAGCAAACCAAAAAACCCTGGCAAACATAGAACAACCACGGCTCAACCTGTACACTCAAAATAGCTGTCTATGCATCTTAAAATACAAGCTTTAAAACAAGCTTCAAGATGAAAGAGATCTGTGAACTCCAGCAACAAGGATAACCTAATAAACAAGACCATCATTGTATAAGCAGCGGCCGCTGAGTGAGCTTCCCCTCCGATGCAATTAGGTGCATGTTGCATGATAGAGCATTTAGATCCGGGTCTACGCTGGCAAATTTGCCCAGTGCCTTCAAGGCTGGCAAGGCCTCAAATATGATGAGACAAGGGACACAGAAGCCAGATATAAGAAACGGCAAGTGTTCCCGCTAAACCAACATTTGCCAAAACTGTGCTTTTCTGTCAAATTCCCATTGTCCCTTTTTTTGGTCTTGAATTTGTTCTCAAAACGATAATCACTCAGCATTTCTGGGACTTAGAGCAAACACCATCTAAAATGTAGCCCCACTAAAATCTAGTTAATAATTACTCTAGTGACCCAACATGTGCTTTTCTCTACAATGGCTTTTTTTCGCAAACAGTTCATACTGACAATTCTAAAGGACAGAAACTAAATAACTATATCTGGATCAGAAATACAGTAATGCCTTTTCTGTTTGTGCGCATACATATAGGCCGACAGTAAACTAAAAATCTGTGTGCTTGAGTTCATGGGACCACAACCTATGAACGTCTAAAAAACGTTAGGTTTTACGGACGAATGAGGCAAGGTCAGTAATTGGTCTATTCCCTACATAAATCTCGCTCTACTGACGGCTCGGGAGGTAACGGAGTGTGGCAAATCTACAAAGACTTCAACAAGCAACTGCATTGCACAGAGCTGCCCGTAGATAACAAGCGCAGTCACAGCAAAACCTTGCCACTTGAGCACGTTTTGCAGAACAAAGACCATGGCAACTCGGCCACCATTACCTCACAGAGTTGGAAATCGCAAGCTGATGTTTGACTACTACTTGAGACGTAGCAACGTTTATCTAACGACAAGGTCATTCCTTCCATTTGTTCCTCTCCAAGAGGTGTTGAAGATCTCGACCTTCATACCTCCATCCCCTCTACCCGAAGGAACAAAAGACGGCGACGTGAACACGTGGGAACCAAGAGATGCCGAGAGACGCACATTCTCAGTCTCCCTGATCAAAAATTTGTACAAAACATTTGCTGACTGACTGGGGAGGGGGTGCCTCGAAACGAAAGCGAAAGCAATTCCAACAAAACAAGCTCCGCGGAAAAAAAAAAAAAAGAGAAAGAAAACAGGTGCCAAGATGACTTTCTCTTCTGCTCTTTCTCACGTCGCGAAGTGGGCGACTAAGAAAGGGTGGAAGCTGGACGTCTGTGACGGAGGGGTGTGTCCGCTCCGAATGCCTCTTTACGTGGGGCACAACACTGAAACGAAAGAAAAACAAACACAGGAGAGCGTCACATACAGTGCTGCCAACTCAAAAATCAGAACCATTAAAGTTCAGATGCAGGTCATGACGACATTTTAATTCAATTCACACTTTCAAGGGTACCCATGATGGGTTCCTCCAGCTCTTACAATTTTTTCACTTCTAAGTATAACTAGTTCTTCTGAATTAAGTACTATTCCTGAAGATCTGAGCCACTCGCTGATACATGACTATCAGCCAGAAGACAATCCCTGTACCCCATTTCGTCCTACGTCCGGCTGGGGCGGACGTTAGGAGCCGTCACAGCCAATCCGGCTCCATGATTGTAGCACGTGACTATGCTTTCTGTGTGTCACGGCACTTCCTCTCCAAGGTCACCGGAAACGTGCACCGCCTTGGATTGGCTCTGGTGGCTCACAGCACCCGCTGCGGCTGGTCGTAAGGTGAGATGGAGTATAGTATTCATAGGTCTGCAGGCTACTGCTTTATAGCATCACTGCCAAGACCGGGAGGAGTTTCTCCGCTGCCGTTCAAGGCAGACAGAGGTTTATCGAGGCTGAAGGTATAAGAAATCTTGGTGTAATGAATAAAAGAATCCTTAGAAAGGAGGTCTCCTTTTTGACTCAGACCACTTCCATGCACAGTACAAAGCTTACGTTTATGATTGTTGTACAGTAATTTCTCGTTATAACGAAATCGTTTTTATCAAAGTTCATTGTGGTCCCGACCGAAATGCATGTGTTTTTAACTGAATTATTCTAAGTGTATCAGCGGCCGACCACGCTCATTAAGAAGACCGCAGAGCCAAAAGCATGCAAGCCTACAGGAGGCGTACGGAGACACTTGCGTTTGCTCTCCCTTCTTCACCGAGGCGAACAGTAAACTGGGAAAACGGAAAACAAGAGAACACAGTAAACCGGTGGCGGAGGGCACAGCCGCACAGAGCGCCGCTTCCGATGCGATTGTGCCGACGCGGGAAGGGACCAGAGGGAGCTGTGTCCACGTTCCAACACTCACGGCGCCCGCAACCGACGCTGCCCGGCTCCTGTTGGCATCGGGACAAGGCAGCGATACAGCCCGAAGGAGATCAACCGGTCAGGAGCCCCCGACATGCGCGTCTGCGGCATACTACACGCATATGTGTGTCGTATGGGAGATAGGAAGTGTTTACCGAAAGGTTGAGGAAAGTGGCACGCCCAAGTCCGAAATTGCCAAAGAATTCAACATTCTGACATCAGCTGTTTGACAGCCGATTCTTATTCTGATTTTGCATAACAAGCAAGGCGAACTGGATGGGTTCGAGAAGCTTCTCTTGCAAGAGAAATCGCGTCCGTGACTTGAAGGTGAAGGATCACAATTTGCTTTGCGCACTTTGGATTTTTGCTTGCGAGCATGCTTGCTGAGCCAGCACACGATTCCCAGAGCTGGAACGATCTCTACAGGAGTGAGCGAAAACATGTTGGCAAAGCCACAGAGGATAACTTTGACTCGTTCGCACTTGTCGATGCAGACCTTCCCGTTGTTGCACCCTGCCACGGATGCTGCGATCAACTTTGCATGCTGCCAGGGTAAACATAAAGGGACTTTGGAGAGTCACCTCCGGAAATGCCGACGACTGCGGAGACGCGAAACACTCCATGGCTGTCGTTCCGTCAGTGCGTACTTGACCTTTGCGCTATTTATTTCTAAAATGCATACCCAACTAGCCCATCTTAATATTTTAGTACTCCATGGCTGCTTTGAAACAAAGTGGAGAGCAGTGGCGGTGACAGTGTTCGTGCGATGCCTGGAGCAGTTTGAGGAGAACTGATGCCCGGATGAAATTATCGGCAAACTCCACTTAATCATTTTTTAACTCGGTAAAGTTGCCATGAGATGTTCATAACCAAGGTATGTTTGATCAAATATATGGTCAGAGTGTTCCACAGTGTTCCCATCCACCTTCAAGGATGCTGGCACTGTTTTTTGGGCTCTATCACTTTTATTGAATTACTGCTCATATAAAAAATTTTAGCCATCCTGTTGACTTCATTATAACGAGGGATTACCGTATCTCCATCCTGTCACACAGTTTGTTTGGTTAGAAGAACCACCCTTAGGGAAGTGCTTTCTTTCTTTTGTATGCACAATTGAGAGAATTTTTCTTTGCATCCACATCATTTTGCATGCTTTGTATCAACGAACAGATGTAATTTCAAGTCGCACTGTGGTGACAGCATATTGTTAAATAACATATTGCTCTAGCAGAATGTATTGTAATATTTTCGTAACATTCACAAAGAACTTTGTATCCTGAAGTGTCTATTACACTCAAGAGATTAAATAATTGGACTCTTTTTTTTTTTCATTTGTTATGCTTTGGCAAAAGCATACGGTACCTGAGTGAGATTATATTTCTTGCGACTGCTGACCCACATCATACAAGGCTTACGGGATTTTGCAAGCTCTATCATTTGTATTGATAACAGACATAAAGAAGATTATTATTATTACCTATTATATTATTATTTCGAGCGCATCATTTTGCTGTTACCAGGTGCATGGCCTACCTGTCGATGACGCCTCCATCATTCTGATTTTTAGTGCAATACATGATGTCAATTCAAAAGCTTCAGTGGTCAAATGCTTTGCAGAAAGTTTGATTTTCCAGTAGAGATATCTGACCCGTCTGACGTCACTTGGAACTTCCAGCACCCCCCTTCCCCCCCCCCCCCCCCCCCCCTTTGCTTTTCTAAATCCTCGTGCAAACTTCACTGGTCCCAGTTCACATGGCAGACGCGGAAGACGCATTCGTACAGTCAAGCAACTAAACAGCTCAAAGCATGTTGCAATATCTTCTGCCATAATATCTCAGTAGCGTTGCGAGAGTGACTTTCACCGACGACAACTATTAGCTTCACTAGCACGTTCCTTCTTAGCCATCCCCCGATTCTCAAGTGTAAATAATCTCACTAAACACGCACATTTATAGGGCGTGGCCCTAACTAATGTTTACAAGGCAAAACACGTTACAACAACCTCACCTTTTAGGATGTAGTCCGTGAGCAGCGTTGGTACCGTTGGACTGTCGTCGTTGATCGCGTGCAGGACTGCGCCAGAAAAAAGTTAAACACACTCAGACATGTACATATTACTAGAAAAAAAGTAACTAAGGGCCATCAATCTTTTCCAATTCGATTAGTAACAGAGCATGCACGTTACTCGTTACCGAGTCCCAAAAAATATATACTAGAACTTCAGTACTTTCCAAGATGGGGTAACCCGTGGCATATGTAAAGCTAGAAAAAACTCGCGTTGCAAGAAAAAATTGTCAGGCTTAGGCATTCTGTAAAATATAATGAAGGCATAATAGCATTTGCTGGGGCTATTGACGAGCAGCACTTTCTATTAAAATTTCATAGGGTTTTGCAAATATTTAAATTTTTGCATAGTAGCTTTGAATACAATACGCTAGTCGATATTCACATCGAGGTCAACAGCGATATTCACATTTTTCAAAGTGTTAATGGTGGTGGGTTCACCCCGTTTAGCCGAGCAACGGTGCACTGCACTGCGGAGCAACACTAACAAAGCTCGCCGCCGCGAGTGTTGCTTCTCTGCAGTTCATCGGTGTTTGGTAAGAAGTGCGATCAACATTTTAGAAAAGTACAAATATTGTGGTTACGTGCTTGGCGGAAAGCGCACTTTCAAATCGGGATGGTGCACATGCGCTCCTGGTGTATTTCAAAAGAAAAAAAAAAACTTTGTGTATGCTGATATCCACAAAAAGTGAATTTTTCAAAATTAAACTGCGGCTATTATATGACAGTATGTCTTAGGCAGAGATGTCCTCACAACCTGCCTTCATCACTCGTGATTTTCTGTTTTCGAGAAGATTTAAAAAATCCCCTCGATCAAGTACTGGCGGCGTGTGCGAACTACAGGGGACGCTTCGCTAGCTATCATCATCATCATTTGCGACGCCTCGAGTAGGACAGACAGGGACAAACCGCGCAGATCTTGAATCCGTCGGCTCAACAGTTCGCTTCATGCGCCTTTCGGGTAAAGTGCGCCAACCTTTTTCACGCGTTGTGTTTATTTGGTGAAGCAATATTTATAGTAAGACATTTTACCAAAGCTTGAAACCGCGGCATGCATAGTCGTGCTAACAAACACTTTTGGCACTGAGGTGTCAAAGCACTCAGACGGCGGTATGCTGTTCTCTACCCCAGTACAAAAAGCTGGACAATTAAAATAATATATCCAGCACTTTATTCCACTACAACATCTACCACAGCAAACAGGGTGTATTTTTTATTACAATTCGGACAAAATAAAACTGAGAAAGGAATGTCTTAAGTTGAAGATAGGAAAGCAAAATTCGAGAATTTCTCGTGTATGTAGTAAACACTTCAGTGAAAGTGATCCTGTGTATCCTGCTGGCTCCAATGTGCTCTGTGAGTGCTAGTTTCTTATTAGTTCCAAGTTGATTCCTTTCTGGATTTCGTAAACCAGTTAACAAACATTTTCTTAAAATAACTAGCAGGAAGAAGCGGTGGCTGACTTCCGGAATTGTTTCAAATAAATCCTTGCTTATTCTCCTGGTCAACGCAAAACATACTACAGGTTTAATTCTAAGTCAAATATGTCGCATACTTGCTGTCCCAATGTAGGCATTGGACATTCCGAGGTCACATTCATAAATATAATTGGGTTAAAATAAACACAGCTTAGAAATGGACAAGCTTGGGAACAACCTTCACAAGTTCAGCTGGGTTTTTGTTTAAGCCTAGTGCAGTAGTGAAAGGCTTGGAGAAACTATTTGATATTCGATTAGAAAATATTTGAGCAAAAACCACTATTAGCTTCGAACTTGCCTCGGATTAAAAACCTGCTATTTGCACATGCCTAGAATTCAGCAAAGATATTCTCCCACAATATATAGCGGGAAAAATGGTGGCATCATGTCACATGAAAGTGTGACGTCATGTATTATTGCATCATCACATGACACCATGGCATCACGTAAGACTGCAATGTCACGCAACATTATGATCTCATGTGACATTGCGACCACATGCAGTGCGACACGAGCAAGCAAAGTCCGTGAAGGGTTCCCATACAAAGCTATTGCTTTAAAACAGAAAAAAACTGTTGGGAGATAAGACAGATGGACCTGCTTAATTTTACTTCTTTTGAAGCTTGCAAGAAGCAATTATGAGTGCAGTCAGAAAAAGTTGACAAGTTTAGTAATAAGTGGAGCTTTGCACTGTCCAACTTTGTTTGGTAGTTTGCTCGCTTGTCCACTTGGACTGTCTAAATCGTGATGCAGACAGAAACCAAGATGGGTGGAAGACAAGAATGATGTTGCGCAAGTTCCTTAGAAAAAAGTTACCAATACTGTAACCTGTTATACACCAGGTCCGAAAGAAATGACTCATTCTTGTTGAGAGAAGAGGAAAAGTACATGCGAGCTGGTGAATTGCAGAGAAAAGGTGTTGTTTATACAGTGTAGACCGCATATAACGTATGTCGAGGGAGTCGCGAAAATCCGCACTATAAGCGGTACCGCGTTATAACCAAAACATCAATTTTTCAGGCCAAAGTATACGCCATGAGACCACTTACCTTTGTAAAACAATTTATTTTATGTTAGATAAGAAATTAAGCTTAGTTTGATGAAAGTCTTTATTTCACCAGACTAGTACACTTCTCTCTCAAGTGTGTCACACATTTTGAAAGAAATTAGTGACTTTTGCCTAGCGCAGCCTTTTAACGGCGTCGCAGGATGCGGACGGACGTTGCGAGCGTTCAGGATTGCTAACCCTAATCACTTTTTTCCTGTGATGAAAACGCGTGAAAATTCGCATCCTTTATACGGCACGCGCATGAAATGATCCAAATAAGAAATCCGGGCGATGTTCGAAAACACAAATGCTTAGAAATCACCACTGCAGTCGAAGTAAACAAACACGACGACACGGGCGTTTCTGCCGTCTTGAGAGTGCCGCCACGACATCGCCGCACGAGCAGGTGGATCTTCCCTTCTAGTATGTGCTGGGTTATCATAGCGACACACAACGAAAATTCACAGTCAAGGATAGCGCTTTTACGCGGAACGATGAGCTTCAACCACGCCGTCTACGTCGACGATCACCACCGACGCCATGTTTGCAGATAGAAGAAGCTGGCCCGCGACCGGCATGCAACGCGCGCAAACACTTCTCCTCAACCTGCGATTGGTCTGTCGTTGCGGCTGTTTCCAACCTTTCCAACGCAGCGGGGGAAGTTGGGCTGGTTGGGTTCACTCCATCGTTGGCTCGCTCCAACGCCTTGCGTCGTGAACGGCACGTGCGTGCGTCTCTCCGTCGCTATGGCAACTGAAGCCTCTCTCTTCGCTTCTCCTTGCTTCTTCGAGAAACCTCCTTGCCACCCTTGCCCCCACAAGTGCCACTTGCAGCTAGCGCTGCTAGCGTCGTTATCTAGTGTCGCACAGGGAAGCGTGCTCGCTACGCGGGTCGGACGGCGCGGACGGCGGGCTGTTCCAGAAACCGCACTATAACCGGTATTTCCATTCGCGCGCCTGCATTTTTAGCGGTATGTAATTACAAGGAGTTCTATGGGAGGCGAACTGGTGGTTTAAAAAAGCCGCATTATACCCGGTTCTGCACTATAAGTGGTTATGTTGTAAGTGGTCTATACTGTAATATTCTTTTGGAATGTGGATTTTCATACATTGGTCAAACTGGATGTTGCGTTAACGAGCGACTCATGGAGCACAAAAGGTGTGTTCTCCTGCAGTCTCCAAATTCATAAATTGTAAAACACTTAGAACTTTGCACAATTGTCATCCGGATTGGACGGCCACCACGGTGATAAGCCGAGAGCGCAATCAGTTTTAACGCGTAATAAAAGAAACTCCTAGTATTGGTTCTGCTGGAAATTGTGTATGTAAGTGTCCCATCGATGGTGACTGACAAGCGGGTACAAACCTTACAAATGTAATGTTTTAGGGGCAAAACTCCTTAGGGCCTCGCCTTGTCCGTCCGACGTCCATGCTCACATCGATCTTGCTGGTGCTCGTGCTCCTGATCGTGCTCGTGAGCTCACGTGCTCACGAGCACGTGAGCACGTGCTCACGTGGTCGTGTAAGGCGAAAAAAAAGATGGAAAAAAAAAAGAAATGTTTGCACAGTCTACAGGATTCGAACCTGTGCGGGGAGACCCCAATAGATTTCTAGTCCATCGCTTCAACCACTCAGCCACGACTGCGGGACGAGTAGGGGGCTCTGAGATGTGGTAGTAACTCAAGAGCTGGGGATGTCATGGATGGAACGTTGCATGTAGCCGCTCAACGTCTATACAGGAGAGGGTGCTGTGGTCAAATGCGTATATAATCGCGTTAAACTTTGCAAGCATTGTCTCAACGTTTATAGATGAGAGGGCACTGCCGTCAAATGCTCAAATGCGTATATAACCACGTTCCATACCACACCTTCTCTTTCTGACATAGATGAAAACGAACGAAAGGCTCGGCATGCTACGGCTCAGCGTCTATGCAGACAAGCACCACCAGAGCTTCACCCCAATCAACATCATTGGTGGAGATGTGGTCTTTTTTTTTTTTCTCCTCATTTGGTTGTTTTTGGCATGTGTGAAAGCATCGAGGGCAGTTCTTCTTTTGTTCGCCCTTGCTGACAATCTGGGCTGAAAGTTCTTGACGTTGACTGCAGCGTATCCCATAAAAGGGTGTGGTTTTAGAATAAACCTTTAGCTGTGTTTGAGACATGTGTGTTATACTCTTTTTCGTGTCCTTCTTTTTTCCTTCTTCCAGTGTCTCAGGTTTCGTTATGTCTGTCATTCTTGTTCATAAAAAGTGGTGGAGTTGTTGCTTTGTGACCACAAAAGTAATGGGACACAAGCTGCTTGTCATACATTTGGAACAAGTGCAAACAGTTCTGCTCTGGACTATGCAGAGTCGAGTAAGACAGCTAAGCAAGAGTGTGCAACAAAATGGCAAAAACAAGATGCACATTCTCTTTCTGAGTAGGCAGCTTGTGGAGTGTGGCACCCATTCTACCCTAGCTGTTCGAAATTTTTTCAGAGTTAAATCATTCACTTTTTTTTTAATTAATTGGGGTCCATTCATTGGTTGCTCAATGATGCACTCATGCCGATTGAATACCGTCATAACCTCATATGCACAAAGATTTCCCAAAGAAAATGCCAAGTTGACTACATTTTCTGGAAGAGCATGGGGATGTTCAGGAATTATACCTTTTCTCTGCCCCTACAACCCCTCAGCTGTTGCATGCAATTGCAGTCAAGCACCTATTCTTAAAACTGGTCACATTTCTTAAAGCATCTGTTTCTGAAAGTTTAGGTTGCATGCTACTTTTACTTTCAATATAAAGCAGTCAAAACAAGTTTAAAAAATAAACACAAATACCTTTTCGTATGTTTATGATTAAAGGTTTCAAAATACCAATATTTAATGTACTAGAGCAGGGGTTCACGGAACCCCAGGAAGTTCCGAAAACTGCCGCGAAACCCCCCCCCCCCCCTCTATATTTGCCGACCGAGAAGCAACAGATGCGCAATTGTAGGCAATTTTGCTTGTGTTGCTTCCCATATATACCCACCATATCAATCACGATGTCAGTACAAAGTGAGATGAAGGCGCTTTGCATGGTCCTGCTGCGCAGCCTGCGGCATAGGGGGGGAGGAGGGTTGCAATTTGGGTGTTTGCGGAACCCATGAGACCAGCTCATGGAACCCCTGTGTTCCCCGGAACCCAGTTTGAGAACCTTTGTACTAGAGCAAAGTTAAAGATTACATAAGAACATGCGTAAAGCAATTATGAGCCCCTGTTGAAAATCTGGGTGAGGCACCACCTATGGCTGGTTCGCAAATTGAGCTTGCTGAAACATTGGTTAACACACATAAAAAATACTTGAACAGTACAAAGTAACCGACAGATTTTGGACTTGAAATAAAGTAGAAAGGACATTCATTGAAATGTGCTGAGATTAGATCACAACATAGTTTCAAAATAAAGTAACAAGTGCTTTCTAACATAATCTTTCTAGTCGCCACGTCACCCCCGCCCCTAAAGTTCCAACTAGTGTGCACTGCACACAGCAAAGACAAACTCACTTTTGATGAGGATCTGTAAGGAGGCATTACTAGGTGGACCCTTGTCCACGTTGTAGGGGATGACCGTTGTGAGGTACTGAAACAGAAAGGACACCGAGATGTAGCAAAAGAATTTGGCGAATTGCTGCCGTGACTGGAACGCACCATTGAATGACGAGTTTGTCACATCCAAATTTGTTTTTTCAATTTCTGCCTGGTGACAACGCTTTGCAATTTGGACTGGGCCACTGCACCATAGGTGAATATGGCAGGCACTTGTTCTGCTATAGATCGCTCTTTTACCAACCAGTTGATGTAAACTCTGTCAGCCACAGACAGGTTAGACCAAATGTTTTTGACAGGTTAGACAAAATGGTAGATTGCCGTTTTCAAGGAACTGAATAAATCGATTTCTTAACCGATTGCGCTGCAATTTAGTACACAGGTGTAAAATGATGGTACATTTTTTTGAGTAAAAATATGAAAAAATGAGTTAGCATGAGTAAAACATGACAAAAAAAATCACCTTTTTCCTTTGGGCTAGCCGGTTCATGGGAAACCATCAAATGACATGGCATTCATTTTGGCAAAATTACAAGAATAAGACGTAAGCCGAATTTACTCTCTTTATTTTCTGTCTGTTCTTCTGTCATGCCAGACAATCCAATGGCACACAATGCTATTTGATGACTTTACAAAGAAAAAAAAAAAAGAAGCTTTGCTAGACAATAATCTAAGGGAACAAAAGTTTCTTATTTTTTTTTTTCTGACTCAGGTGAGCTCACAATATTTTTTTACTGTCAAATAACAAATTCAGCAGCCACAGGCACCTCTGTGCGAAATGATAGCACGATATGTTAAGACCCCGATTTATGCAGACCCTTCAAAGGGCCAACACGCAATCAATTCCACCCTGTATGCTCTCGCATCTACAACCGATCACCAGGATTGCAGCAAAATGCAGCATCTCTCAGCGACTCCTGTGACATTATTTGTTGCCATTTTGGGGATGCTTCGGCACATAGGTGGTGGAAGACATAAGGACACCAGTGAGAGATATGTTCCAGGCACTGTAGTAATTAGTGCACACTGAAGAAAAAAAACTCATGCCCATCATACTGTGCTCTCTGCACAGCAGACACACTTCAGTTAGTCCAGATTCCACACTAGGGCTTCTCCATAGTAAGGAAGTTAGTTTGATCATGCAAAATCTTTCAGCATCTATATTACAGAGCATGGACCACCGACATGTTTGGTGATTTATTTAGTTTCGCAAGGTTGGTATCTTGAGGCAATTCTCCAAGAACTGGCACTAGGATCGTCAATTATTAAAGAGAGGCTTCGTTCAAGGTTTAACATGCTAGGACACATGAGATATAACGCATAAGTTTAGTGTGCAAACTCTCACAAAAACTAGAAAAAAAAAATCCTTTCCTAGATACTGCAGGTGAGTAGGCCAAATCAAAGAATCGTCCATTGAGTTGACAGTGGAAGATTTATACAGGTGAGAACATCCAGCACGGCGAACGCTGCGACACGATCGACCCGATAAAGTCCTACTGGCGTGCGCACAAGTAACCTCGGCCACTAGTGCCTCCGGCGTCCGAAAAGCGCAACTGAGGGGGAATAAAAAACTGTCTAATTTTTATGGCATTTAGGCATGCGCTCTTTCCGCTCGCTTGAACACGCTAACGCTAGCTTGAACACCGCGGCAGAAATTTGCAGAAAGTTGTCAGCGTCAACACATTCATAAACTGTTATTGTCGCCAATAAGGCACGAAACTAGGGTCAGTGACGAAGCAGTGTCTAAGCAACAAGCCCAGCGCAAGTGCCCAGTTCTACATAAAGTGGTGCACGCAGAAAACGACTTTAAAAACGAGCATGTTTCCCACAGAGAAGTTTGAGAACCCTGGCCCATGACGGGCTGCCATTAGCGGCATATTGAGGAGCCATCTGGCAGCGTCACTTGCAACTAAGGTGAGCAGGGGACTTTATCTGGCAGCTGCGACATGTGCGGTGTCCATACCTATATATATCTTGCACCGTGATTCAGTTCCACTCAAATGCAATTGCATCTCTGCCTATTGTGAATCAGTTTGTCTTATGCCAAAGGGTTTCCCAATCTCTCAGACTGACAAATGCAAAAAAGAGAGATTAATATTTCCAGCCCCGCTAAAAAATCGTATAAAAGTCGACCTCCTAAACTGAACTACTACCTGCATCCTATAATTATATACAGATTGAGCAAAGATATAGATTATTCTTTTATGTTATAGCTTTACCTGTGTGATAAAATATCTAGGCACAAATCACCAAGAAGAAAAAAGTAGAGGAGCTTCTCTCTCGAGAAACAGCTGGGCCACCTCCATCCTAAAAACAAACTGAACTTTGGCCAGAATGAAACATCACCAACCAAGACAACATGACCTTTGACCTCACTCCCTCAATCCAAAAAAGCCTGACCTTTAACTCCACTGCGAAACCTCCATCCACAAACATCTGACCCCTGACCCCACTGGGGCAACTCAATCCAAGAGAGCCTTCACCTTAGACCCCACTAAGGCATGTCCATGCAAAACAAACCTGACCTTTAAACCCCCTGCGACACCTCCACTCAAAGAAAACTTACGTATGATTGCACCCGATCACCTCCATCAAAGGAATCCTGACATTTCCCCCCTCCCCCCCCTTGGGCGCCTCCAACCCAAAAGCCCTGACCTCATACCCCACTAGGGGACCTCCATTAAAGAAAACCTGAACATTGACCCCACTGGCGTATCTACAACAAGAAACGGGGCAAGAGAGGGCGAGACCACCCACCTTTGGCTCCGGCCCGTTGTGCGAGGCAACCGAGGCAGGGCGCCCCTTGCGCCGGTCGATGTGGAAGTGTCGGCGCTTGTTCTGCACGCTTAGCAGGAGAGAGATGAAGCTGTTCTTGAGTTCCTTCTCAAACTCGAGCTCGTCCCTCAGGGCGAGCTCCTGGATCAGGGTCTCTGAGTGCTCACGGATCAGCCGCTCCAGCTCCACCAGCACCTCTGTCAGCTCGGGGGCCGACAGCGTCTTCAGCCCTGCACAAAACGGCAATCCTCCTCGCTGAAGGCTACGCGGGGCCCTTGCAGCAACACCTCCTCGGTGGCAGGGCCATAGTGCCAGTTGTTCTACGTCAGCCGCCGGAAGCCAGCGCGGGGCACTCGTCGGACACGAGTGCTATGTCAGAATTCGGCTGAGGACACGAGTCCCAGTCAAACACTGACTCAGCATTCGCGCCCAATCTCCACCCTGTGCTGGCCTCCTATAGGCAAAACAGAACCACGGTCTTTAGACCAACCACTTGTTGGTCTGGAAACTTTGTCGATTTCCGACCTACCACATCTTGTCGGCGCAAGCAGCGCTGATTCATGTAGGAATAAAGAAATGTAAAAAAAAGAAACTAAAAGTTTTAAAAAAGATTTGATAAACTTCGAAAATTCTTTTAGAGTAAGTGAAGCGCTCTTTGCATGGAATTTTAAAGTTGCTTTGAAGTAATGCGACCCTCAGGTCTCAAGTATAGATGGCATTTCCAATTATTCATCCACACCACGGGTCCACGAATTTTTATGAAAGAGTGGGCGCAACGAGCGGCTTTCCCCGTGGCGGCTTCTCCGGACCCACGCCTATCCGTTAGGTTCTCCGAGCGACCTGATTAACTGACTCATAAGTCGACAGAGTGCTTCTTGTGTTTCAATTTGTCCGTAGGTTGTTGTAAGCATTGAAGTATATTTTGTCCATAGGGAAAACGTTCCCATGGCGTGACAAAAAGACTCCAGACAAGGTAATCCATGGTAAAGCCACCGCTGCAGGCGGCAAAGCCACCTGCAACGGTGGCTTTGCCGCATCTCACGGCGCTACTGCAGGGAAGCCGACTCATTGATAGAGGAATGACCAGCACCACATTTTTAACCACACTTTAGTATGTTCAGGCTATTATAACAACACTGTAAACCAGGGGTCGGAAACTGGCGGCCCGCGAGGCAATATTATACAGCCCCCGGCATGCCTCCGAGAATGACCACACTCAAGGACGAGGTGTTTGGTTGCAAACGTTGTACAATTGGATGTAAGAACTCTGATCAAGATCAAAAGATTTACAAGATAAAGTGTGCTGGATCAGGTGGTCCCAAATAAAAAAAATTAAGTTGAAGAATGCGCTTGTAGCGAACGACTTTGTTCAGTTCTCTGCTGACCTCCCTGAGCTTTCAAATCTACAAAATCTCGAAGTGGCCTTCAACGAAGTGTTTGATACAGCACATACATATATGCAGACATACTTTTTCAAGATGAATACTGTGAAGCCAAATGTGGGTCTTGCGAATGACAGATAAGCACCTCTAAATTTTTTTTGTGGCTTTCAGTTAAGAGCTTAGTATGAATGTTCACATCAATACTGAAAACCCTATATCTTACTGAAAGGGGGCTGAATCACTCTTACGTTATGTGCGCCTGAATCAAGAGAAAATCTTGGCATATCACTTCAAATATGTAACAGTTTTTGGGGTTTTTTTTTTTCACTTCTATAAACTGATTTCTTTCCCTATCTCCGTTTCTCTGTTCGGCCCCTTCAGTCTCCGATTTGCGACGAATTGGCCCACTGTAACAAAAGGTTGCCGACCCTTGCCGTAAACAAAATGTGCAAGAGAATCTTATTCTGGTAAAGATGTATGGTCTTTGCATAGTTGGCGCATTATTCAGGTACTACAGATCCTTTTCCCGTATGCTAGATTTGAGGCGCCATGACTGACCTTCTGCTGCCTCACTGGGATGCCCAGCCACTGGTATGAGTAATAAAAAATTTACACAAAACCTGCTTTGGGCAGAACACTGCCGTGTCTTAAGAGGGGATGCTGGTCTTTATTGTGCTGAAATTTAGTATACTGATGTATTTCTCTGTGGTTATTTCAAATATGCGATTAATTTTGAGATAGCTTCACCAGATCCTGCGTTATCAATAAATTTTTAATTTTAACTGCACCGTATTTACTCACATAATGAACACACTTTTTTCCCCGAAAAATTGACACATATTTGGGGGGGGGGGCATTCATTACACGAGGAAATATTTTTGCATTTAAACACTTCTTGCAAATGTCATATTAGGTGCCAATATACAACGGCAAGGTACTGTGGCACGTCTCCGGTGATGAAGGCACACCCACGGCTGGTTGGGGGCACGCCACAATAACCATGCTTTAGAAATTGCAAACTTTTTTAGAGTGCTTTCAGGGTGCTCTTTGCCCAAGGAAAAGCGCCCTACGAAGCTCACTCAGCATGAAAAGCAAGGCGACCGTTTTTAGGCGATATATATTGCTAGTATCGGGCGGGCGCACTCAGGTATATCCGCGACTATGCGACTATGCGTATAAGAACTGGAACCAAGTCCAACCAACCGTGGACCCCAAGGCCCGCTCGCACGGATCAAGTTTCACTTACGGAGAGGCTACCAGACACTCTCAGCCTACAGCACAGACCTTTGTGTCGTTCTGTTGGGGATTAAATAAACGCATTTACCCAGAGTATGTGAAATTAGGCCTTACCACTTTCATGACACGCAATTCGAGACTTGCAGATCCGAAAATTGGAGGTGCATTGGTTTTGGGAGGGGGAAAAAAAGTCAAAATATTGATGCCCGTTGTGGGGGGTGCATTTATTATGCGAGTGCGTTTATTATGCGAGTAAATACGGTATGTCCTCTTTACGGGTCGTTGGCGTACAATTCTTTAGAATATATCAGAAATTTTTATAGAATAGACTACTTCCATAAAGCCCTGCACGCAACACGGCGCGCGTTGCACCCTGGGAACTAGTTGGCCAGGGAGGAGACTGGCATGGTTTCGCTTTCGATCGACACGTCGACAAGAGATCATACACAGAGCGTGGACTATAAACGGCCATTATCTCATGTTTCTGGTCCCGAGAGCGTCATTTGTGGTCTCTAAACTAACCTAAATGGCCAGACCTCGAAGCTTTAGCACAAGCCTGAGACGTATTCGCAACTCCAGCGCACCGCTCGCCCTCCCGCGGACGAACGGAGAAGCAGAGGAGCGAGGACGGCGGCGGCGGCGCGGAAACGGTGGCAGGGACTGTCGGCCTTGATGCGTGAAGTCGTTTTAACGAAAAAGGTGAGCGTGTTAAAAAAGGAATTCTTGTGCTCCGCCTTGCAACAGCCTTGCACGAAGGACCGGGATGTCTAATTTTATTAGGGACTTTTCGTGTATTGCATACGCTGCGGATTTCTGGTATTGTGCATGGCCGCCAGCTCAATCTGTACTCAAAGTGACGAGAAACGCTCCCACTAATAATGAAGAACTCTATAGTACGGTCTACGGAAAGTCTATTCTTTGCCATAACTAGGAGAAAACTTGTCGCGCAACGGTATGTCGAGCAACACAAATCGGGAAAGGGTTCGCGTTTTAAGGCTAATGCAAGGGACATGACCATTTAATCCAAGCACTTCAAAAAGACAGAATACCCGTACTTGCTTTCAGGTGATTACAAAGCAAATAAAGAAAGGCTAGAAGCATATTAAGTTGTTCTGTGTTAGGCAGCCGTTTGTGACGAGAGCTTAGAGCACGCAGTTTTGGCCAGAGGGACCGCAATGTTGCAAATAACGCGGTGCAAAAAATGTAGGGTATATTAAAATATTTATTTCCGATAAAGCGATAAATAAAACCCCTAAACACACCTGTTATGTTAATAGGCAGTTTTTGCAGAGCGTACGACACCCCTAAACATCGTTTGGGCGTACAGCGCACTGGTCGTGCAACCAGTGCTACCAACTTTCACGAGCGACTTTTTAGCCGAGCTGTGCAACTTCTTAAAATAACCCAAATAAGAGTGAATGACTGTAAAAAAATAATAATCGGGGTTTTCTTGGCCCTACTGCAAAACCTACCGTATTTACTCGCATATTGGTCGATACGTCGTATAGGTCGACCCCCTAACTTCGGGACCCCCGAAAAAAAAAAAAAGTTGAAAAATATAATACCGGGATTCGCGTATTGGTCGACCCCCCAGTTTTGATGAGGCGATTTTTGAAAAACAGGTCGACCTATACGCGAGTAAATACGGTAGTTTTTTTTCGGTACTCTTTGATGCGAACTTTAGCTGTTTAATATCTTATAATGCACCGTCATCAAGCCTCTGGTAAAAGTTGTGGCCGTCAGTTTGACGTCGATGGGCTGCACGGCGAACTGAAGTTTTGGAGTGTCGTATACAGTAAAAGCTCGATAATTCACACTTCATTAATTCGAAATTACCGATAATTCGAATCAGCCGCCATGGTCCGGCCACGCTGCATTGAGTTCTATGTGTAAATATTCCTCTAATTGGTTGGCAAATTTGTTCCGCCACCGATAATTCGAACCAAGCGCCACCGTGCGGAGGTATAGTAAACCGCAGTGAAGAGCTTTCCAAGCCAAGCGATAGATGGCGCGTCCGGCGCAGCGGCCGACCTAGCAACCCAGCTCGCCGGGCTGTCCTTGAGCTAGCATCTCCGTCGTCTCCGGCTAGGCCTTTCCGCCTCGCTTATTTTGTTTTTTTGCCGTTTCGCGATGTCGACGTCGGTTCGCGGAAAGTACCGCGCCAAAACACTGAAGGAAAAAGTTGAAATTCTTCGGGAGGTCGACGCCAAGAATGCAAGCAAGCAAGATATCGCAAAGAAGTTCGGAATTCCTCGAAGCACGTTGTCTACGTACATCCGGAATAAGAAGGCTATCGTGGATGCCTACGAGGTCGAAGCCTTCAGTGGCGACCGCAAAAGACTTCGCCCTGCCAAGTACCCGGATTTAGAGAAAGCTTTGGTGACTTGGATCAAAGATATGAGAAGTTTGAACCTTCCGCTAAGCGGCTCCGTCATAATGGCGAAGGCAGCCGACTTTGCACTGCGCTTGGAACACGACGACTTCGCCGCCTCCGAAGGGTGGTTTCACCGTTTTCGCGAGAGGCACGACCTTGTTTTTCGTGCAGTGTCTGGGGAAGGGCAAGATACCAACATGGAAACGTGCGCAACGTGGAAGAGTGGAGCGCTGCAAGA